GGCTAGGCTCGGCTCTCTGACAGATTTAACCATAATGACGGTTTCTGTGGCATGGAGGGGACTGCAGCCCTACATGGCAACAGCTGCAAGGAGTGTTTTTTTTTTTTTTCCAAAACCTGCAGAGAAACACTCGTCCTTAACACTTGTCATATTTTCACAAAGCTTTGTGGCTGAAAACACACGCTTTAAAAATTGTACAAAAGAGTTAGTTTTATTAAATCACCTAATTACAAAAATAAATGGAATGAAAGGAAAATAAAACAAAAACTATACCAAAATTCACATCCTAAGAAACAAGACGTTACAGCAGAATGCTGGGGAAGCTCGGCTCAGCTGTTTAGAATGGACCCACGGCTCTGCGGTGCCCACGACACCGAGCTATCGCGACCATATTCCAGTTCAACTAGACCCCTCTTTCAGCTGCATGGTCCGAGTCAGCGCAGAACAACCGCAAAGAGAAAGGGCAGAAGACGTGCCAAGCTGCTGCACAACTGCAGACAAAGCACCAGAAGTGTTGTTTGGAAGGAAACTGCCAGAGTAACTGAGTATTGCTCACTGCCCCATACACCTCAGTTATCTCAAGATTTTTTTATTAGACTAAACTATCAGCCAGTGTAAATGCTGGCTTCCCATTAGCTCAGGCTATGTTAATACAAAGTCTCTGTGTAAACACTGAAAAAGGAATTGGACTAACTAAAGCATGTTGCTGCTTCTATCTGCAGCCTTCAGCAAGTGGCACTATCAGTACCTCAGTCTGATTCCTCAGTTTGCCCTTTCCTCTTCAAAAGGGGAATACTGCTTTTCCATAAGGGTCTCCTCAGATCCTCCTCCTAAATGACTGCAAGCAAGAAGTTCAAGTTTGTGAAGCACTCTGACAGCGAAGACTGCTGTGTAAAAAATACTACAAGATTCTTATTCTAGTTAAGTAGAACAGAGGTTGTAAGATGCCATCCTGAGATAGCTTTAAAGCAGACAGAACATCAGTAACCTCGGCAAGCAGGGTAAAAACCCCAACACACTCACTGCCCCCACACTTAGCTCAAGTTTAGCCCAAACAGATTCAACTCCCAACACTCCAGCATGTACTTACCGAGATACACATGGAAACAAACTTGATTTCTAATGAACTCTACAGTAACTGCCATGTAAAAGCAAACCTAACTCTAACTTGTTAGAACAATCAACTTTGTATTTACTTATCACTATCTCTTAAGGGAGAGGAACACTCATGGCAATGTCCTGGGGTGGAGAACACACTGTGGCTATCCAGTGAGCAGAAACCTGCAAATACAGCTCCAGTGCCTTCTCCTGACAGTGGGAGACGCTTGCTCAGTACAGCAGGTGGAAGACTTCCAGCAGCGCAGTGCTGCCAGGAGGAACATGTTCAGCAGCAGAGGATCCTCTTCAGGAGTGCTCTGTGGGGCCTGCCCCGTGCCCGTTCACGTGAGGGTGCGATGGGGTTGAGCTCTGCGAGGTAGCAACACTTTGCTCTGCTGTGGCAGCTGTCAGAGGCATGGAGAGGCTTTCGGGGGACAGCGTGGCAAAGTCTTGTCTCCAGTAGGCTTCGCACAGTGGAAGATCATTGCTGTCACATAGACTGTAGCTTTCCAGAACAAACAACCCCAGTAAGGAGAGACAGCAGGTGCCATAAGAGAGGAGGGGAGGGAGGAAAAGGGTGGGGGGAGCAAGACAGAAGCAAAGCATTAAGAAAATGGCAAAAAAATGTTCATGGATGTAAGGTCTTGTGTTCACAAGTTCATCACAAGTCTTGTGACACTGGCTTTCCCTTGGCCACCCCTTAAGGGCTGGTCTTGAACCTCATGGGCCTGGTGAGAATCAGGGGAATTTCAGAGACAGAACTGTTGCTACAAACTGAAACAGAGGCTCAATTCTACTCCAGATGCTCTAAGTCCCTGAAAAGATCTGGGCTGAAGTCCTGGCACCCCAAGTTTGGCAGTTCTGCTACTGATTTGAATGAGATGAGGACCTCATCCATAATTATTTTACTTGGCATTAGATCACAACCTATGTGAAGAAAAAAGTATAAATCCTGCTCTAAATTAAAGTTCAACAAAAAAGCTAGTGCAATTGTTTAGGGCCTGTCCCTGTCATGATAAAGAAGAAACCCATGTGCACCCTTGCCCTTTCTTGAAAGTGCTCCACAGAAAGTCTGGGTCTTCTGTTGAAGCTCCGCAGCCTGACTATAAAGTACAGATGGCTCCTACCACTTTCAGCAGAACCTGAGCTAACAGTTCGTCTAAAAACAGCTTGCTGGATGAACCAGCAGTGTGGGAAAGTAACATTTTTAAACAACCGGCTAATTCTTGCCCGTGCTCTGAGGAAAACACAATGTGGAAGGGACAAAACTAGAAATGATGGAAGAAACTGGAATAAAACCAAAACAAATTCCAAAGAGAGGAAGGAGCTGCACACACAGGAGACACCCAAGACAAAGTGAGTGCTGGAGCGGAAAGCAGCTTGCGTTCAGAGTAAAACAAACCCAATGGGTCAAGTGATTTTGTTGTTGCAGCTTTATTTACATTTTTAATGTATGGACTTGAATAGATGCTTAGGGAAATATTTTAAGTGTAGAAATATGAGACACTTCAAATTGCACAAACATGAAACACGTTGAGATCTAACCCCACACTCAGGACAGCTCCTATGATCTCAGAGGAGGGAGCAATAGAACATAAATGCAAGTCTGGGGTTTAGAAGGCAAGCTGGACTTGCAGTTATCGCTTTGGGGAATAAGCACACAAAGCACTAGTTGCAAGCATCTGCTTCTGAGCTCTTTTCTGGCAGCATCACCCAGCTGGTTTTGCAGCAGAAGTGAGAAGGCAGTGGATACAGGTTTTATATTTGGGGCCTTTTGTAAAATCCCTCGGAAGATCACGCTTCCCTACAGTCCCCAACACACAGTGAAGTTGGGCTCAGTTAGCAAAGACCTTCAGGACCGAACCAGAACTACAACTCCTTTTCTGTCAGTCTTAGACCTCAGGCTATGGTTTCCAAGGAGAACCACGCCACAGCATTCACCACATCTTGGCAGGGGAGTTCCTAACAAAATTTTAGCTGTGTCATAAGCATAACTGCTTCTCCTGCTGGCCCAGTTAGAACAGTTCCAAAAGTCTAAGCTTCGCCTCTCATGTAAAACTCCTCAGAAGTCAGGGAGAACGAGCAGCTACTGCACAGCCCACAACAGCACTGGCTAGCCTGCTACTCTGTCTTTTGACTGAGGGCTTCTCAGTGTGTGGAAGGGACTTCACTACTCTCCTTGAGCCACGCAGCCAGGCCTGTGTGCAGAGGAACAACTCTAGGAAAGCTACTTGAACACTGTGACCAAAAGCAAAGATTCCTTCAAGAACAACCTACTCAGCTTTAGTTTCAAGGACTTGCTTTCAGATCTCCTCATCAAAACTCCAACATAACCTGACCCTACACCTGAGGCACATCCTATTAGTTACTCACTATGGGCAAGGAGCTGTCTCCTAAGCCCCTTTAGCACAGTGGCAGTGACAACTGCTAGGCAGGAGACACTCCCTTCCACAGGCTTTTCACTGCAGTTGGGAGCAGTGCACAGAGACCAAGCAAGCTACACAGCATAGGGCAGCTCTCAGCTTCACAGCACCTGGAGGCGTGCTGCTGCAGGGAGCTCACTTTTCTACATCCTTCCCTGGAGGGACAACCTAAAATAAACTAACCAGAAAGCTTCAGGGGAACCGGGGCATGGGGGAGCAGTCTGATGGGATGGCTGTATGGAACCTATGTCCTGGCCTTACATGACTGCACACCTCTTTGTAAATCCTGTGGGATCAAGCCCCACGAGAAAGTAACAGATGGTGCAGAGAGGAAACCCCAGCTGGGCTCCCAGGACAGTGCAGAATGCCTGTTTGTGGGCAAATCGGCTATTACATTCACAGCCATTTAAACATGATTGTCACTCAAGACTATGTGTGACATAACAGAAACCCTTTTTCCCACATTAGACAATAAGGTTTCATTAAAAATATCTTTGTACTCTAATTATAAAAGGACTTTGAATAAATCACTTTCTATATTTACACATACATAATTTCTTTGGTGCAGAAAAAGGCAAGAAAGAGCACAGGAAGGGAATAAGTGCTAAAAGCAAATGACCAAGTGCTACATGATATGAGGTTTCAGTGGAGGGATCATAGCTCTGTAGATCTGCCAAGTTTCCTCACCTGGTGACCACTCATATAAGAAAGCATGAAGGCAACTGTGTTTGGTGCATGCCAACATTTGTGCTTAGGCGTTCTGTTACGAAGGGTTGCTTTACATGGCAGCTGGTGCCAGGCAGGTGAACCGACCATGCCAGCATGGTCAGAACCCCTTAGTCCAAAAGTTAAAGCTACTGACACACAGTGGTGGCAGTCTGGTGGCAGTGTGAGAAGCATGTCTGGCACACGTGAAGCACTATCATCCCACACTGCATCCCTCTGGATACAGCTCACTGCTATGCTGTATGCAGCCTATGTAGTGGACACACCCCTGACCTATTAGGGCCTGGACTGGTGCTTGGGTGTATGACCATCGCTCTTCATATTGGAGATATTTCTGGGATCCCTTGCCACCCCCCAAAAAACCCGAGTAAAGTTCGAAAAACAATTCTAAACTTTTACCTCGAGTTTTCTTTCAATGTCATAGCAGCTCCTAAGTTATGTCATATCAGCATCTTTTTGCTCTTAAAATACATACGTTATCCATAAATAATGACCTAACATCCAAAGACACTGAGCAATTAGGGTTTCAGTTGGCTTAGCTGGGATTATGAGCATTCAGCGTTTTTAGAAAGAAGGGAAAGGCAAGAACAGAAAACCTGGTCATTAAAATCTTAAGTAAGATTTTGAAAAGTTAAGTTTTTTCTTTAGAAGTCATAGGATTATTGCACTGACTTTACTTAGCTTGGACAGTGCAGCCAAAATATTCAGGTTTTCATTTATTTTCTCCTGCTTTCATTTACTGCATCATCAACTAGAAGTGCTGGAGTGCATGACAGAAAATAAAAAAAAAAAAAAATAAAGTGTCTGAATTCTCTAAAGCCTCTTTTCTAAGAATTTTTAAAATATTAAAAACCCCACCAAAAAATCAGTAAGAAGTCTCCCATAGAAAATCCTATTACAATACTTCATAATTCAATGAAACTGAGGAAGTCTCTTTTCTCATTGCAAATGTTCACCCCACAGGACTCCAGGCAGCGGGGGGCATTGGACTACAAGGGAAAAGGCACACTGTGTAACCAGGTCACTTGTGAAAGAACTCACCATGAAGACGTGGTGATCTCATCTAACATTAGGACCCAGCTCAGCAAGCTAGTCTCTCTAGGAGGGGAGAGAGAGAGAGGCTCCTCCAGAGGGATACTCAGACAGAAGCCTATACCCCCAAGGAAATTCATCTCCTTTTACAATGACTACAAAGGAAGCCTAAGCAAATTATCTGTCAATCCTATCCAACTAAATCGGGCACCTAGAGTTGGATGCTGTGAATACCTCCTTCACCATGACATTTATACCCCGTAGGGTATCTACAAGGAAAAGGAAGTTCCTTTAGTTGCAGAAAAAAGGTTTGACCTCATTAAAAACAGGAGCAAAAATTTGTTGGGAACATTCTCAAGACCTATACTCTAAGGACTACTTGTTTGTCTGGACTAACTACCCCAAAAGGACTGGAGTCATAAGGCAGAAGTCCACTGCCCTATTTGTACCTGGAAGAGTAATATTCTTCTTCTAGCTCGTACAGGTCAATGGAGATCTCATCCCGTAGTGCAATCAACTTCTTGTCACATTCCTCCTGCAAGCTTCTCAGCTGCTGGTTGCGCTGGTTGATAGCTTCATTCACAGAGGGGAAATCATTGAGGATCAAGAACTGCTTCAGGTCAGACACAAGTTTCATCAGGGACTCACCAGCTCGGACCTTGGAGCAGCAAGAAAAAATCACATAGCCCATAGTAGATCAAAACAGTGCTTTGCTCCAAGCCTAAAACAAGATCTCCCAGGGTGCTTCTTCAGCCCAAGCTTTGAATAAAGTAAAAAAATCCCTCATTATGTGAGCATTCTGACAGAAGCCTGTAGCTGACAAGCCAGGCTACCCAGCTTTCCACAACCACCCCAAATATCAAGTTACTCTTCTAGCAGCAGTCCTCATGAGAGTTATAAAGGTTGCCCTAGATGCAATAATGAATGCAATGGTACCCGAAGGATGTGCTGCCCACTGATTTGAAACGCAGAGTGCTACTCACAATGTTTGCAGCTCTGACATGCATCTCATAGTTATCTTGTTCACCCTGGGTTGCTCGAGAGACTTGAGTTTCATCCTCAATCTAATGAAAAAAGGATACATATCCACCTTTACATACTAAAACCCTGACAGATGATTACTACATTACAGGGCATTTCATTTCACTTCAATCCACACCTGGAATCCCTGTGGCTGCCTCTGGACCCTATGGCATCTGTGTATCATCTTTGCTACCCGCCCAGGTAGCTTCTGCAGTCCTCCCCCGTTCAGCAACCCCGCTTCGCTGCCCACAGGGCGGAGGCGGGGAGGCGGCGAGCAGCCGGGGAGAAAAGGCTGCTGCCCGCCCTGGGAAAGGGACCCTCTTCCCGCATGCCGCCCTCGAGGGAACCGGGAGAAAAGTACCCCCGCCAAGCCCCTCAGGGCCGCGCCCTCTCCCCTCAGGGACCCTCGTCTTTCCTCAAAGCTGCCCCCGGTGAAAACCCACCCCTCTCCCGTCAGGAGCCTGGGTGCTCCCGCAGGCGCGGTCCCCTCCCCTCGGGGCTCGGCTACAGCCCAGGCCCACCTTAGCAGTCTTGATGATTTCGGTGAAGTTGTCCATGATGGACTTGACGTCGTCCTTGAGGCGCTTGTTGTAGGACTGCAGCAGAGTCT